ATGCTCAAGTGCAAAGGGCATGACTGCTGCGTCCTTTGAGGCTCTCTTTAGTAAATCCTGAAAATACAAACACACTTGGTCCTTCTTCTGATGTGCAGAAATTGCTCAGAGAAGGCCCTTAGGCTCAGGGCTAACACAAGAACCAGGACAAATATTTCAGGGAATGGAGAACAGATTTGCATCCACTGCTGACCAGAGCCACCAAACAAGACACAAAAATAAAGGAAGTAGATTTGCATGAAGAGCCTCCCCTTCCTATGATAAGAGAGGCCTGGAGGTTCCTCCTTAGCTGTGGGCTCAGAGGCAGAGCTCTGGGGTAGTCTCCACCATGGCCTGGACCCCGCTCCTGCTTACACTCCTCACTCTCTGCACAGGTGCTGCCTCCCAGGGCTCACTCCATATTACCACAGTGGCTGCGTCAGCTGACCCGGAGCTTCAGCTCAGCACAGGGAGTGGTGTAGGGTGTGGGGCTCTGGAGGTGAAACCCTTATCCTCACCTCTCCTGTCCTCTTTTGCAGGTTCTGTGGTTTCTTCTGAGCTGACTCAGGACCCTTCAGTGTCTGTGGCTTTGGGACAGACAGTCAGGATCACCTGCCAGGGAGAGAGCCTCAGAAGCTATTATCCAGGCTGGTACCAGCAGAAGCCGGGCCAGGCCCCTGTGCTGGTCATCTATGGTAACAAGCAACCGGCCCTCAGGGATCCCTGACCGATTCTCTGGCTCCAGCTCAGGAAACACAGCTTCCTTGACCATCACTGGGGCTCAGGTGGAAGATGAGGCTGACTATTACTGTGGCTCCTGGGACAGCAGTGGTACCCATCTCACAGTGATACAGACAGATGGGGAAGTGACACAGAAACCCCTTCACTCTCTGTGTCGCCCTCTCTCTCCAGCCCCAGCAGGACTGTGAACAAAGCCATCAGCAGGGCTGGCCCAGTTCACCTGGATCTGAGAGCTTCAGGCTGCCCTTCCCTCCAGCCCTCCAGGCAGGCTCTGCAGAAGGTGGGTCGGGATAGGATTTGAGGCTGGAAGGACCATGCTCTTCTGCTGTAGTTTGGACTGAGTGTGTCTTGGCTCAAGATGCCCTGAATGGAAGGACAGTAAGAGGTAGACAGACAGCCATGGAGTGTCCATGGTTTCGGGAGTTCCTCTTATGTGGTGACTGGATCTACTACAGTGCCTGTACTCTGTGGCCCAAATACCCTGGACTATTTCTCTGAACTGTGCATGTTTAACTGAGACTCTCAAGTCCCAGCTCCATGCATCCTGATGTTCTGAACAGGAAAGCCTTTCCTAGTGAGCACTGTGGCATCACGTGGCATCCCTGGCTTTCCACAGCTCTTTCCCACTGAAAAATGCCACTGAGTGCAAATAACAGCCTCCTGCAAAAGTGTGCCTCCTTCAGAATGTGGTTCTAGAGCAATGACTTCCTGAGGCCTTAATCCCAAAGCCATGCTTTAATTTAGGATGACCTTAAAATGCCTCCTAGCTGAATGGTCAATTGTAACATATTCCCAGTCACGCCTCCCACATTTTTCTCCTGTGAGTATATCCTGAAACCCTACTATATGGAACCCTCCCTCTCAGAGTAGGATTCTAGGGAAATGAAAAATTGTAAAATAAAAATTAAAACATCCTAGCAGGAAGAGTATCAAAGAGGAGACAGTTGCACAAGAAGAGAACTCTGAAGTCTGCAAATAGTTATGCACTAGTGAGCACTTGTGTGTAAAGAAACTCCCTCTGAAAGAGAAAAGAACCACCTAAAGACACTTGAGGGAAACCCTACAGAGAACACACAGCCCCCCCCACACACACACACGCACACACACACTCACACTCACATTCACACTACAGTCACAGAGGAAAGGCCTGAGTTACAGGGCATGAGGTTGGGCCATCGGAAGGAAGGAAGGAAGGAAGGAAAAGAAGGAAGGAAGGAAGGAGAAAATTGTATTGCTAATATATTATTTGGCAAGCTATTCAGTGGAACACCAAGATATTCATATGTGTGTGTGTGTATATATATATATTATTGCATTTTAGGTTCTGGGGTACATGTAAAGAACATGCAGGATTGTTGCATAGATACATACATGGGAATGTGGTTTGCTGCCTCCATCCCCATCACCTATATCTGGCATTTCTCCCCATGTTATCCCTCCCCAACTCCCACCCCCACTGTCCCTCCCCTAGTCCCCTCCCACAGACCTCAGTGTGTGATGCTCCCCTCCCTGTGTCCATGTGTTCTCACTGTTCAACACTCACCTATGAGTGAGAACATGCGGTGTTTGATTTTCTGTTCTTGTGTCAGTTTGCTGAGAATGATGGTTTCCAGGTTCATCCATGTCTCTACAAAGGACATGGACTCATCATTTTTATGGCTGCATAGTATTCCCTAGTGTATAGGTGCCACATTTTCCCTGTCCAGTCTATCATTGATGGGCATTTGAGTTGGTTCCAAGTCTTTGCTATTGTAAACAGTGCTGCAGTGAACATTGGTGTGCATGATATTCTTAAGAAAGTTGCACAGATATTTTATAATGTTATCACTGAAGTGGATTTTGAAAAATGAGAACATGAATACCTTTAAAAAGTATTCAAGAATAAAGAAAGAAAAATAAATTTAGATGGTATACATATGCAAAATGTACTTTAAAAGACAAGTTTGTCTTTTTTTTTATTCCTTAAATATAAGAAGCAGATATTTAAACTCCTTGCCTTTTCTTTTAAAATTTAGAAAATGCTTACGTCGTCCCACACTGAAATTTATACCAACACAGCTAATCTAATCAAGGGATAATAAAATCAAAACAGAATTCTCTTGACAAATCTGTTTCCTTTATTTTTCAGACTAAACATATGATCAAAGAAATAAAACTATTTATAATTGATTCTGCTATTTGAAAGTATTTACTGATCACTTACCTTGCACCAAGTGATCTCCAGCTCTGAAGATAGGTCAATGGAAAAATACACGTAGTTGCCCAGCTTCGTTAAGCTTAAAGATTAATGAGGAAGAAAAGTCATTGATTAGGGACTTTAAAACAGGAATGTTATGATATGGATGGAATTCTGACTGCATACTGTGCTTGCTGTGTGGAGACTGGATTGAAAAATAGCTCAATGATAGAAGCTTAAATTCACATAGACTGTGGCTAGCCTGTATTTTCAGCACCCCTGAAATAAGAATTTTAATAGTTCTCATTATTTTCCCCAATAAATCTCTGCAGTAGAGCTCTGGCCTTGTGAGAGAAGCACCACAGTCACCACGTAGTGAGGGTGGGAAGGTGAATAGCAAATACCATTTGGGATTACTGCACTTTAAAGGTAAAGTGGCAGAATTTTCATACATGTCAGATCTGAAAGTGTGTGTGTGTGTGTGTGTGTGTGTGTGTGTGTGTGTGTGAAGGAGAAAGAGAGGATGAGAACCAGACACATACAGAGAGACAAGACAGAGCTGCAGAGACGGAGAGAATTAAAAGGGGACCCCAAGCATCTTGAGCTGAGAAACTATAAAATGGGTGTTACTATTAAACAGAATGGGGAAGAGCAAGTTTGGGGAGTGTCAGTGGCTCCATGTGGACTTATTAATTGTGACATTTCTAACAGACATCCAGGTGGAGAAGTCAGACAGTGTTGGGTGTAGTTATGGTATATATAAAATATCAAGAAATGAATGACACAAAAATTCGTAAGAAAGCAAAGTTAAAGAGAAGTCAAAGTCCTCAGCCTAGTGGTTATCTAACACTTAAAAAGTGGTAAACATGAGAAGAAACCAGCAAAAAAGTACTAAGGGTAATTATCAAAAACATCAAGAGGTAATACAGGTAAAGAGTTCTGGAATTCCAAGATCAACTGCATTAAATGCTGCTGATACATAAATTAAGACAAAGGCTGAGGAATTATGCTTCAATTCATAATTTAAAAATATGGATTTCATTTGTGCTTTGATAAGAGCAATTTTCTTAAAGTGAGTAGGTGAGATGCCATATTGGAGAGGTTTCTTGAAGGAGTGTCTGGTGTCTAGATTCTTACAGAAATTTTTTAGTGAACAGTGGAGGCACAAATGGGATTAGTTTTAATTCTAGGATCGGGACACACTTCAAACCTGGGTCTCTGCGTGCCTTGCGTCTGAAGGCTAGGTATTCCATTTTCTTTTAATAATAGACACAAAACCTAAACCCATTTAACTGACACACTTTACAAAGACTTGTACTACAGGTTGCTGGAGAGGCCGTGGTTCCACACAGTATCTGATGAGTATCTGATGGGCAGGGAAGTTGGAAGAATGTCTTTGGAAAACTCACCATGCCTGCTATATTTAAACATTCAGATGCCAATCACCTGAAATTCATACATATTCCATATATATTTCCACAAGAAAACACCAGGGACCTGTATTAAAATATCATTAGTTCAAATAATTACACTGGGTTTTCTGATTTTTTAATTAGCAACTCAGTCTCTGCCTGTTTTCAGCAGTACAACCTCTATCTAATATATATTTTGTATTTTTAATCAACCACGAAGAAAAAATACTGTATTTTACCTCAAGTCTATATATAGTGCCTAAAATAAAAAACACAATTTTGTAGATTCAACAGAATTATTTGTTGAATAAATAATGAGTAACTTATTTATAGTGTCCATAGACAAATAACATATCATCTCAGAATACAGCGATAACATTTGTTATGTAGAAAGCCACTTCAATCTCAGTTAAAAACATTTTGGGCATGTGAGTTACTGTCACACACAGATGCTCACATTGTTTATATGAAAATGTTTGTAGTTAATGAATATTTTTGGTCCTTAAGCCTTTTGGTTTTGCTGCTATAGCAGATAGTGTTCCTGTTAAGAACATGAACTTGAATTTTACTTCATTTTTAACGGATTTCTTAATAAAATATATGCCATACTATTTGTTTAATACATTAGCAGACACCCTGTCAGAAGCAAATAGCCACCCACTCCACCACTGCCACCCATACCTCTGATAATGCGGCCCCTGAAGATGTGACCGATAGCTGAGGACTTCGTGTTCATCCTGAGCACTTTACAGCCCTTTTATTTCCACCTAGGGATGAGATAAAATAATTCAGCAGCAATACAGCTCACACTTCTTAAAGAATGACTCTTTCTTTTGTGCCTGTTTAACATTTCAGAGCAAGACAGAGTACACTTCTCTTTCCCAGGAAATCACTGTTGGCACTGCACTCTGAAAACCTGTATTATTGACTTTCTTAGAAACACTGTTTGGGCTTATAATTTAAATGCCATCAAATCATGTACAAAAATATGCTACTTCCTTCCCCTTCTCTTCTCCTCTTAACAGACAATTGTCAGTTTTCTTTTCTCTCCAACTCCTTCTGTCTACCTGATTTTTTAAAAGTGTTCTGCACACTTCCAATTTTAGTAGTGTAGAGACCCAATATGTGGTCGAACTACATGTCCAGAAAGAGTTGAATTACATGCAAGCATTTTTAAATAAACAGTTCCTCCTCGGTTTTCTGTGATTATTTTATATAATCAAATGTCTTCCAGAGATACGTCCCAAACCAGTGGTTATCAAGCTCTGCTTTGCTGTTTAATTTTATCAGAATTATCCAAAATTCTTATCATAAATACATATAAATTGGCACTCCTTCAGATTTATAAAGTCAAAATTTCCAGAACCTAGGACTATGCATTGAAAAAAATGTATTCCACAAGTGATGCTGACTTGATATTGGATCCGGGTTTAGAATGCAAGAAAAATTACCTTCCTTGCCCTCTAGTTGACACTTATATCCAGAGTTCCCCTTCCCCTTTCACATTCTGCTGTCTCTCCTTCTGCACCTTCATCTTCTCCTCCCTCCACTTCTCACCCACGTCCCAAGCCCTCCACCATCAATCCTCCTAAAATTCCAGATGGCCATTTGCCACTAAAGTTCCCTCTGTCTCATGAACAAGTTATATGGTCAAATCGAGAATTTAAGCTTGGACCCAGCTGAATCAAGAGCTGCAATCAAATATTTCCCTCAACCCAGAGCCCCCAGCAAATAGTTATAGAAGATCAGAGATTTCCTGTAGGTGCAAAGGGCTCAGGGTGACCTGACGCTATAGATCAAATCTTATTGTCCTCTCAAATTCTTCTGTTAAAATCTAGTTCCCTACTGCGATAGGATTTTGAGGTGAGGCCTTGGAATGTGATTAGGTCATGAAAGCAGAGCCTCCATGAATGGGATCAGTGTCCCTATCAAAGGGACTGCTGGGAGTTCCCTGATTCCTTCTGTCATGTGAGGACGCAGTAAACAGATGGCAGTCTACGAACCAGGAGCAAGCCCTCACCAGACATGACATCTGCTGACCACGTGACCTTGGATTTTACCATCTCCAGAACCATGAGAAATAAATTTGTTTCTCTGCGACCTAGTCTATGTCATTCTGTTTTGACACCCAGATTAGCTAAAGTACCAGCATACCGACTTGTACACGTAATTTTTGGAAACCCTGTGAGGCCAAATCTTTGATGGCAAAAGGCAATCGATCTGCAGGAGGAATTAACCTCAACAATCCTTCTTTCCACAATAAACCAGAGAGTGAAAAGACCAAAAGTAGGTCAAGGTTTTCTAAAAGCCGCACCTGGAAGATTTCCAATAACAGTTGATTAGATGGTAATTTCATCATACAAACAACCACAACAAAGAGACATGACTATCAGAGATTTTTGGGATAGCCTCAAAAACACCATCTGACATTAGGGACCCCTCCTCCCAGGCTTCTTTTCCTGCTCTCCAGCGCCTCTTGCAGGCAGCAAACAATCCCAGCAGCAGCAGCAGCAGCAGGTCCTTCAGCTGCAGGGCTGCAGCTCAGCCAGATGACAGAAGCCTCTCTCCGATGAGGCAGAGGAGCCCAGGCCACACACCCTGGTCTTGGCCTCCGTGTCTCCCACTGTGTCCAGGACACAGAGCAGCATGGGAGCTGCTGGCTGGGGCCTGTGATGGCCACCCGCTGTCTCTCACCTCTTGCTCCAGTCATGCTTTCAGCTCCAGGGCTGAGGCCAGTGTCTAGAGCAGGTGCCACAATGTCAGGCAGCTCCTTAGGGCAGGGGCAGGAGGGCTCTGGAGCTGCCTCTAGCTCCAGCTCTGTCCCTGAAGGGGGCTCTTCCCCTGGTGCTGGCATGGCCTCATCAGCTAGCCCTGGAAGGTCCTGTATTGCTGCACATGGAGCAGGAGCTGGAAAAGAAGAAAGATTCACCAATGACAGTCATTTTTCACTGGAATTTCCACACATGGAAACAGTCTCACTGAATTTAAGTAATTCCAGCCTAAAAACACTGCATGCAGAAAGCCTCTGAGACTACAGGCCACCTCACCATGTGCCTGTGCTTTGAGGAACTCCAGAGGCTCCAGCTGGACAAGGACAATACACAGCTGTGGCCCAGATGGGATCACTGAGGGATGAGCCTGCATCCGCACTGTGGGAAAAGGCTGTCACTCTGGGCGCTCCTAGAAGTAGGAGCCTGGAGATGTGGGGATGCCAGGTGCTCTGAGATCTGAGGGAGGTGGACACTGCCCACCTCCACCCTTCACATCCTGTGCAAATAAATTATTATTTTCACCCCTCCTTCAGCCTATCAATTTTGACACTTAAAAAGCCACCACAGCTCATCCTTGTAAAGAGGAAGGCCATTCACATCACATTTTTCAAATAATAATCATAGCCATGCAAAGTATAGAAAATTTTTCATAAATTATTGTCCTTAGATTACGTATGAAAGTGATACTATTTTAATATGCTAGGTAAATAAAATATATTACTTAAACTCATTTACTTCTTTGTATTTCTAATGCAGTGACCAGACAGTGGGATTCCCATGAGGCTCACATCATATTGGGACTGAACAGTGCTGGTTTTCTCTGCCTTCAGGGTCCAGGGGCTGTGGAGTGACCTGGGGCAGGAAGCCCCATGTCCACCCACAGGACATCAGTGTGAACCCAGGGAGAGGTGCTGGTGTAAGAGAGATGAGAACACAGCGGTGACCCACTCCGTGTGCAGGGGACTGAGCCTTCACTTTGAACCAAATAAGTTTTCTTTTCTATGTTCAATGCCTGAACAAGAGGGCTTTCTGGACTTCTTTGTGTTTTCAGGTTTGTGCCTTTCAGGTTTGGGGCTGTCTGGAATCCCAGCCATGGGACACTGAGGAAATCCAGGAGTCTCACACTGACTCTGTTGAAGTTCATCTGCTGCGGCCATCCCAAACTGCTGCGCACTGGCCATTTCCTTTCCTGGTGCTCAGAGAGCTGCTCCATGCACTTGCCATGGTTTCAGGGAAGAATCTAGGTGGAAAGACAGGATAGTGTATAATATTTAAATTAAATCTGAATCAATTAATATTTATTTTAATATGAAACATTGTAAGAATTTTCATATTAATGGGGAAAGATGAAAAAAGATTAAAAGCATTTTGAGAAAAACAAACAAAATGTATTTATCAAATGTCTGTGTGTCTGCAGTGTTGCAGGGTTAGAGGGGTCAGCTTTAGTTTGTCCTGAGGATGTGCTCAGATGGGGGAAAGCAAGAAAGCAGGAAACACGCATCTCTGTGACCTGACACGTCAATCACAACAAAATGGAAATACTTTTTTCAATAAATCAACCATTCACAATACATATCACTCTGGTGCACACAGAAAGGCCTGCTAGCAAACTCCCTTTGTCCTGCTGGGTCATATCCCCATGGATCACCTGTGTGCACAGTGGACTCTGTTATCCCATTTCCCAGGCTGAGAACCAGAGGCCAGAAGGACAAGTCGCCTGCTCATGAGTGGGAAGGGCAGGATTGGGAGCAGCAGATTCCGTCTCAGGACTGTGACCCTGTCGGTGCTCCTTGTTCCCTCCACAGGGTCCCTCCCACATTTCCCGGTGCGGATGTGGGTGCACTTCCTGGGGTGGCTGACGTGCTCCAGGGATTCAGGGCTGCAGATGCTTCAGCACAGAGTGTGGGGTGGGGGTGGGGATGGACGAGGCTGCAGCTGGGGAGACCAGAGACCAACAACACCCAGGAGAGAGTTCCCTGGGGTGGGCAGCCCCATTTCCTGACAGCAGAGACAGCCTGGAGGTGGGTGCCCAGCAGAGGGCACTGCAGGGTGTGCCCAGGCCTGGGAGTCACAGAGACACAGACACCACACAGCAGAGACACGGAGGGCCAGGAGGTCACTCAGGTGAGGGGCTTCCGCAGATCTTACTCTCCTGATTGATCAAATCAGGTACAAAAAAATTAAGTACTTGCCATCAGAATAGACAAACAAAGACTTTCGTCTTTTCAGCTGAGCTGCACTGTCAAGGGAAACAGAAATCTTTGAGCCCAGACCCAGGGGAGGGTGGGGTTAGGCATGGAGCTCACAACCCAGATTTGCATGGAGGCCCCACCCTCCTCTGAGGCAGAGGAGATAAGACAGGGCTCGGGGGCAGGCCCAGTGCTGGGGTCTCAGGAGGCAGTGCTCTGGGGACTTCTCCACTATGGCCTGGAATCTGCTCCTCCTCACCCTCCTCAGTCAGGGCACAGGTGACACCTCCAGGGAAGGGGACTCAGGGACCTCTGGGCTGATCCTTGGTCTCATGCTCCTCAGGCTCACCTGCACCCAGCACTGACTCACTAGAGTGTGTTTCTTCCTCTTTCCAGGATCCTGGGCTCAGTCTGCCCTGACTCAGCCTCCCTCAGTGTCCGGGTCTCCTGGACAGTCGGTCACCATCTCCTGCACTGGAACCAGCAGTGATGTTGGGGGTTATAACTATGTCTCCTGGTACCAGCAGCACCCAGGCAAAGGCCCCAAACTCATGATTTATGGTGTCAGCAGTCGGCCTTCAGGGGTCCCTAATCGCTTCTCTGGCTCCAAGTCCTGGCAACACGGCCTCCCTGACCATCTCTGGGCTCCAGGCTGAGGACGAGGCTGATTATTACTGCAGCTCATATACAAGCAGCAACACTTTCCACAGTGGTCCAGGTTCATGGGGAACTGAGACCAAAACCTGCCCTGGGCTCTCAGGCTCCCTCCTTGCTCTGAAGATGCTCCCTCAGCTGTCCAAGGTCTGTCCTTAGATAAGAACATACTCACTTCATCTATTTGATTGGATCATGGGTTTGCCAAAGACAGCCAGGTGTCACAATCACAGAACGTTTATCTGCATTGCTTGCTCTGAGTTTCGGGTAAGCTTTTGTATGTCAGGAATAGACTCCTCCTAAGGCGAAGTCCGAGGGAGAGGGAGGGGCAAGTGGGCAAGGAAGTTTGTACCAGAGCTGGACTATCCAGTGCAGGCTCAGAGAGAAGGGTCCTCATATCAGCATTTGACTGAAGCCAGAACAGAAGAGAACAAGGAAGTTCTGAGAATAACAAATGAATAAATGAATAAACAGTTTAAGTTTCAAATATGTTGAATGTTTTTATAATCCATGAAAAGTCAAGAACAGAATTTAACAATAGGACAAGGAAAAGAGCTTGAGATGTTAAAATATAAAGAGCCCAAGGCAAGTTGCCAGAAAAAGAACAGGACCTTTTTGGTGGAAATATGTATATGCTCCAAATTATCCTTTTGTGTGTGTGTGTGTGTGTGTGTGTGTGTGTGTGTGTGTGTGTATAAGGAAACATTCCATGGAATACTATTCTTCTTTACAGTCAAGATCACTCTTCGCCCCACAAGAAAACCTAAAGGGAATGTCAGGCTGCAGGGACATAACTTGAGCATGTTTGTAAAGTGCGTAACAGTCGCGCACACCCCAGCTGCTCCTGAGTTGGCAGCAATTATTCCTTACATCACTCGTGAAAACTGGACCTGGGATGGAGGGAAAGCAGTGCAGAGGGTTTCAGGGGGTTAGGAAAAGAGAGACTTTAATGATTTAAAAGTAGATCTAGGAGTGCAGGCCAGCATCCCTGGGGCATTTGCCTGCTAACTCTCACCGTATCTCAGAAACAGTTTTAAGGTCAAGTCTACTAGAGAGCTTAGGGGAGGAGTTTGCAGAATCCAGGTTTGAAATGTCTGCACGAGGCGGCGAGAGTCAGGGGCTGGGAAGACACAGCTGAGCTCATCTAAGGGTGTTGAAGTTTTTCTGGCCCGAGAGTTTTTGGCCATCCCTGTATGACCAGGGTCTCAGATAAGCAGAGAGTTTATCTGCTCCTCTCCTCCAACCATAGTTCCTGGTTACCCTATGCCCAGGTCAGTGCTGCTGTGGCCTTTGCATCCTAACAGCCCATTTGACTCCCGGTTGTGCTCAATGGACTGACCCAGAGTAAACAGTAGGAGGTTCCCCTGCTCTCTGACCCCAGGGTCTCTTCCTTTCAGTGGCATCGGCCCAGCCCTAATGTCCATCCATCTGTTCCTACCCATCCACGCCTCCATGCTGCCCACTGTAAATGGCCACAGGTCACAAATGGATTGTAAATCTTGAGCAGATTGTCCTGATTCTGCAAAACGGAACATCTCCTCCCAGCACCAGGATGTCACAAGCAAGGCCAGCTGTGGGAAGGCAAGTGGCGAGAGTAACGTGCCTCACAGAGTGTAGACAAGACAAAGTCACTCTGATGTCTCTCAGGATGGTTCAGGTCCCTGCAATTGCAGGCCCACAGAACAGGCCTGCAAGCTGGAAGATGGGCTCCCTTTCTCCTGTACAGTGTGCAAGGTTGCCCATGTATAGGAGTGTGCCCAGATGTGTACCCATGTATGAAAGTGTGCCCAGGGTTGTGCTCATGTGCAGGAGTGTGTGCAGGTGTGTAAATGTGTGTGCTCATGTGCAGGAGTGTGCACAGGGATGTAAATGTGGGTGCCTGTGTGCAGGCATGACCATGAGTGTGTGTAGGTGTGCAAATGTGGGTGCCCGTGTGTAGGATTCTGCCCAGGTGTGTAAAGGCAGCCATCCATGTGTGGGGGTGTGGCCAGGTGTGTGCCTATGTGTCAGAGTGTGCACAGCTGTGTAAATGGGGGCACTTTTACAGCAATTGCACCTGCCCCGCCTCCCTGCACTGTGTGTGAACTCTCTGTGCTGGGCTGAGCAGCGTGGATTGGGTCACACTGGCACAGAATGGGGCTGGACTCTCTGGTCCACAACTTCTCAGGTGACAGGAGCTGTGGGGTCCCCTGGAAGAAAAAGATCCTGGGTCGAGTCTCCTCCACCAGATGGGGGCAGCAGAGCTGCAGCCAGGAGCAGTCAGGAGCCAGGCTGGGGCTGCCCATAGGGGGCAAAGAGGAAGCCCAGCCTGGGGGTCAACAGGTGTCCAAGAATCAGTGCTCAGACTGAAAGTGAAGACAGTTCATCCTATCCCCTCAGGCTGCAGTGGCCACGTTCTGAGGGTCAGGCTCACACAGTGTCACCCCAGGACACTGATAGAAGCCTGGCACAGTGAAGGCCACACCTGGGAAATGCAGCTAGAGGACCCTGGGCCCAGATGTCAGCCTAGGCAGCCTCCTCAGGAAGGGGATACCCTGGGAGACGTCCCGAGGTCAAGGTGCTCTAAGAGAGGGCACAGTGTGAGGGGATGGGGCTCCCAGGGCCTGAGTCCGTCACCCAGGATGGCTGCCTGAGCCTCCTGCCACTCTCAGGGCCTTGTCCCTCCCTGTCCAGCAGTGTCCTGGGGAGCCTAGCCCTCTGTCCTGGACACTTCCAGATACACTCGACCCCTGCTCCCTCTACCTCTCCTTCCAGCTCCAGGCAGACCCAGACTCAGGGGGTGGCTCCCGTGCTAAGCGAATCTCAGGTGGGTGGGGTGAAGATGCATTTGGGGCCCCAGTCCCAGCATGGGGCATCCCCAGCCTCCACGAGGACATGCTCTCCAGAAGGACGAGGATTCTCAACTGACTCAGGCCACAGCTCTGACCCCGAGGCTGTCCATGCTCTGTCACATGACAGTAACAAGGGACTTGGCTGGAGTAACCATGGACCACTCACCCTGTGGAGCTCACTTGCTCTGGAAAGACCACGTCCCTGAGAGACTTATGGAGACCATGGGGTTTAAAGTTAGATTCTCAGTCGAGTCTGCTGCTCTTTGCAAGTTTACATAAAACATTGATGAGAAAAACATAAATAGGTAGAAGACAAGCTGAGGGGGCCAATTGCTAACTTCTTGTGGCAATGGGGGCTGGTACGGAAGGAGCAGCACCATGGATAAAATGAGACCAGAGGCCCTGTTGACTCCACAGGTGTGTGTGCTTGCTTAAAAGACCCAACTATTCCTACTGAAATAATTAGCAAGTGTTCTAATGACACAGTCCAGCATTTAGATGAAATAAATGAGAGGGGACTGAGTCTGAGAGGGACCAGGAGGAGGAAGATGATGGGTCTCTTGTGC